GTTGAATTAACACCCAATAAAGTTGTGAAAAAATATATGTTGCAATTTGAATCATCTTGAACAATTTTCACACTAAGAACACACGGTTTTGCCTCTTTGATAGTTTCATATGTGTATTGTCTACCATGGTGATAATGAAAGCACTAATGTAATGAAACTAAATTGGAAAATAAGCGAGGTTACTATTTTATTGCTCTATCAACAATCAACTCCCAATGTAAATAGGAAGAATAATAACCAATTACAATTAACATAAGGAAATGATAAAAAAGAATGATGCATAAAGCCAGAGAAGAATGAGATAAATCCCAAAAAAAAATGATCCCCTTCATTGTTCCCACTCCATCTTTTTTATAGTGTTAGAGCACAAAATCTCTTAAAAGTGAGTTTGTTAGCCTTTACCTCATTCTTCTTCTCATTTTCAGGATGCCCATATCTCCACTAACAATTTTTGGTTCTTGTTGTTCACTTTTTGTAACCATGTGTCCATTATGATTTGGCAGCCTCGTTACATATCCTTGGAAATAATATAAAAGAAACTGAGAAAAAGGAAATGAGCTATGAAAGCCAAAACTTGAAACAAATTAAGGAGTTAAAGGTAAAGACAAACAAACAAAGGCATCCACATAATCTCAGTAAAGAACTTTTGAGGAGAAAACCAAAGCTGAACTCTAAGGTCAAAATATATTCTTCAAGGATGGTTTCTAAGGTTGAAATATGCAAAAACAAAGGCTTTAGAGGACAAGAGGAGAGCAAAACTAAAGATGAAGAAACAAAGGGAGGAAAATGAAGAGGAATTAGGATTAGATAGCTTTGTTGTGATCAAGTGTTCATAAAATATAAACCAAGATTTCAGAGATTCAATAATTTAGATGATCATAGAGAATTAGATTAGCCAGTTAGAAGAGATGGAAGAATTGTTAGCATGTTATATGACTTTGAATGTAGATGATTGTCATTATGTCATCATCGAAGTGTTACAAGAGATGGGAGAATTGTTAGCATGTTATATGACTTTGAATGTAGATGAGTATCATGATCTCATCATCAAAGTGTTCCAGTAGGTATGGTTTGACATAAGTTATGATGGTTTGGATATTAAACTAGACATGCAATGTTGTTTCTATGAATAACAACATGTCTGTAATTGCTAGGCTTGACCACAAATGTATAATCATTCTAAAAGCATATGTTGTTCTTGCCATGCTAGAATTTTTTTTGAAACTCTATTTTTTGCATGTAATTATGTTGTTCTTGCCATGCTAGCGGATTCAAGTCAAGCATTTATGCGAAAGCGACATATGCTAAATTAGTTAGTTAATACTTAATAGTCACAAGTTACTGTGCCAGAACATGGTACTTGAGATAACTGTTAAAAAGCAGAAGCAACTAAGTTTCATTACCTTCCAAGTTCCAAAGACTGAAACAATGCTATCTGCAATCAAGCAGACTTTTCGCTAAGCAACTTGGTATTTTGAGTTAAATCTTTGGCATATATATATTAATAGCATAAATAACTTCTTGATTTTGTGTCGAGACTTATGGCATGAGACTATGCTAGGTTAGCTAGATCCACAAATCAACAATTTGTTGGTGCCAACCAATTTGTAAGTCATTAAAACTTTTTCTTTAGCATTTTCATGAACCATATAGCCTTACTAGCTATCCTATAATATGGACATAATTTTGAGCATATTATCAAATGTTTAGCTATATATTTGTCTCCACATTATGTGCTTGCATCTTGAAAGTTCTTACTCAATTAATAAATGGTTATAATTCTGCAATTGATCATCTAAAGTGCATCCAGTACTTTAAAGAAATCAAATTTATGGGATCGTAAGATCAAGTTAATAGTGAATTAACCTAACCATAATGGTTAGTTTAAGTTTAAAAATTAAAACCCAAGTTAATTGTGAATAAACTGAATTAATTCATTCAAGACATTATCAAATATCTTTCTAATTGAGTCAACACTGATTTATATTCTCATAATAAATAAGCACGGTGAGATGTCACATAATACTAAGAGCGCTGGGAAATTATACTAAATTCCCCATATAGTTATTCTAATAGTTATTCTAATTGTAGAATGTGTTTGAACTAATGAAAAATGAGAGTAAATATATAACTTATCTCCAAAAAATAGCAATATGTATTTATTTATTATCCATTCTCCGAAAGGTTGTATTACCAATTTAGTTCTTAAATCAGTTAAATGTATAAAATTCACTATAAATTCTGTCCACAACTGTTAAGTTCGTGTAAAGGTGATTGAGTTGGCATATTAATGAGTAATGACATGTATATTATTTAGTTCTTAATAAATATGCAAGATTTATTATAAATTAGTCCTTTTGTCCATTATTTAAGTTTTTTTTAATCAAAATCGTCGAGTTTGACACATTAACTACAAGCATAAAACATTAAATGGTATATTAAAACGTTCCTACATAGACGTGAACATAAAAAGTAATAAAAAATATGATACAAATAAAAAAGCATTTGGGAAGTTTGATGTAAAATAGCGTGGGAAGACATAAACAAAGAAAGTAGGAATGTTATTTCAACACCCACTATTTAATACACATTACTAACACCTGTATATATATTTTTTATTTATCTTTTCTTATCACAACATATAATTATTAACGGATATGCATTGTCAACGTTGAATAATTAAAAATCATCTTCGATACGAATTTTATGAAAGTTGCTATGTAATTAATAGTTAAATGACAGTATAATTTATATAGATAGTATATACATTATTTTTTTCTTAACTTAAACCTCAAATAAATAATAGCAAAAAAATACTTTATTTAACTCTCGACTTAGCATCATATTTTTCCAAAATTAACCATTTTTTGAAACCTAATCCATATTTAATACAATATATGCCCATATTTGTGTGTGTGTTTTAGAAGACTTTATACTTTGACATGCAAACCTACCAGAACAAGTTAATAACTAATAACCATGAACATTATTAACTCAAATAATTTAATTTAGAAAATTAATTTATCTCTATCCTAATTATTTCTTTAACTTTTCTATTGTTCTCTTTCACTTCTCCATCTATATTTACCTACGCATGTTCCTTGTTATATTTAACTTTCCTAAATATCAACTTAATCATTCTAGCTATATTGATAATCTTAACTACTCCAATGGAAGAACTAATTCGCATATATTTAAAGAATAAATTGCATATATGTAGTCGCAAATGTAACATTTAGCATCCCATGTGGGCAATGTGCGAATTCAACCATGAAAAAATCTTAACTATCGGTAAAATTATATAAATTGTACTAAATTTTGCACATATTCCATAACTAAAGTGAATATAGGGATTAAACCTACACATATTTTCTCACTTTCAGAGCCAAATTGTATGGTTACGAGCACAATGCATGATTGCTGATGCAATGTTCCACTTTGGTCAAAGTCTACGGTTTGACGGGGTCACGTCCACTAGTTTGACCAAGGAACGAAAGAGGTTCAGCTTCACTCTCAGTGGGTCGTGAAAGTGAAATTAATGGATAACACAACTTGTGAGCAACTTCTGCTTTTTTATTGTTTACAAGTGGCAAGCAAAAATAATTTAATGATCATTTCACACTACACCAAAATTATTTTTTGTGTGACAATTAATTTATTATTTAGCGGTCATATAAATGGTCATTATTTTTTTTACCAATATTTAAATAATGACTGGTGTATCCAATATCCTAATACTATTACTGACATTTATATAAAATACTGGTAAAGATCTACTAAATTGTATAAAAAAAACTTATTTTTTAGTGACAATTTTAGTAACCATTTTAAAAGTTATTAAAAAACTTTTTTTTTCAATTGTCTCCTTTACTTTAAATAATTTATTCCTATAATTTCCTTTTCTAAATTCATAACTTATATTTTTTTTTATCTCTACTCGATGTGAGATTTGTAAGATAAGGGTTGTCTTTTATTTATATATTTTTTAATTTTCTTGTCTCTTAAGAAATGTGAGATTTATAAGATGAAAGTTGCTCTCTAATTGTTTTATAGCACTATTAAACTTGGTAATAATGAATGATTTGATACCAATTTAGAATAGTGAATTAGGAGTCAACCCTATAAAATGAATCTTTAAGGTGATAGTTATTACTCACTTATATACTATTTAATTTTCTTATCTCTAATCGATGTGTAACTTAAGTTTTTTCTAATAAATAATTGTCGCTAATAGTAAACTTTAGTGTAGTATAAATATATTTTTAGTCGCTATTATATATTAACCATTAATATTTTTATATATGACGGCAATTAAATTATTGTCATTAAATAATTATCGTTAATAACAAATTTTGTTGTAGTGTAATTTTATATTATTATTATTATTATTTTTATATAAGAAACTTCGAGAAAGTTGAGAAGAAAGAAAATGAAAATAAAACTGTGCTTCAATTTCACCAGGCACGGAAGCTGTGGTTGAATTTATAAAATACAACTGCCATAGTTTGAAATAAAACCTTTGCTTATAAAATTTTTATTTGGCTTAGTTTATATACAAAAAAAAATTATTTCAATGTATTCCTGGATGCACAGACCATTTGGCGAAGTTCCGTGTATTCGAGAATATTACATTAGCCTAATAAAATCGTAATGCATGACGTCGTTTAATTTTTTATACACTTAGATTGACAGGAAACATTATTAAATTAAACAAAGATACTTACAAATCTTCTGAAAAATAATACTTTTGAAATTATGTTGAAAATTCTACTTTGAAGTCTGTAAGCAATGTTCTCATAATCACATTAATTTCTTAAGAATAATCACCATCGAATAGGTAAATATGTTTGTAATACTATATGATATATTAAATAATTCTCTGACAAAATAAAAATAAAAATAAGTAAACTAAACAAACTTTTCAATTAACATAAAAAATAAAAATAACCAATAATAAAATATTAAATAACAACCTAGACGTTAACATATTTTTATGTAGGTAATTATTTGCCTCAAGATTTTTCAAACAAATAAAAATATAAGCATAAAATTAGAAATCAATTTAAACCAATTATCAGTTGCCAACTTTAAACTGGTTTAATTGAATTTTCACCACTTTTTACTCCATCAGTATCCTGAGTTGTCTGAACCCATATTCTAATAGAATTGGCCAATTTGACTTTTAATCAATGGTGGAAGTGTCCTGTAATACCAAAGAGATATTGGTCAAAAAGAGCTGTTTCAGATTCCATCTAACACCCAGATAAATAACAGTAACAGCAACATTAGAGTAGTCAAATTAAATGATGAAAATAGGTTACAAATTACAATCAATCAAACAAAAACTGATAATTGGGTGTACACCTCTAGATACAGGATACAATCACCCACTTCAGCTCAATTTAGCTTCAATCATAATAAACATTATTGAAATAAACAGAGATTTACAATTCACAACCAAGAGTGAAAAGAGGTCCAGTCCACTAAGAAATTGGGTGCTCATCATGCCATCACATGGTACAGCAAAAAGCTTCATGAATCATGACCAAAACAAACTCTGCATGTTTGATTCAGATGCTTTTTCTAGGAAATAATTGTTTGTTCTCCCCTTTATTTCAAAAAGCTACTGCAAAAAGCTTTTTGCCCCTGAAATGAGCTCATCTAAACAAGCAATAGTAAAATCCAAACAAAGGCAAAAAATATAAACCAGATAAGCAGAACTCCATGAGAATCAACAATAGCAATGATAAAAATAAGGGAGAGAAAATTATTAAAATGGACAATTTGCACCATAAAAGCAAAATGGGATGGTTGACATGTTCTGCAGATTCAGTATAGATTTAATGGACTGTTACAAATATAAAATTTATTTTAAAGAAAGTCCATAAAAATAATTTACATAGTCAGACAGAGATCACAAGTTCCTGACATCAATGATCCATCTGTTATCAATTTCCCATACTTCATATGTAAAATAAATATTCATAGTCTCTGTTGTGTTTGTATTTGATTGTGCATGAAGCATGAATCTTTCATGTTCCTCATTATACATGCAAATGCAGATTTAACTTACTTTAACAGCTTCAACTAATCAAAGCATCACTTCTGTCCATAAAATTTTTTATTCTCAATCTACACCAATGTTTCTCTTGTCAGTCTCAGTTTAAGTTTAAGCTACAAGTCAGCAATCAACATTTTCTGAGACTTCCAACACAATTTAGAAATACAAGAACAAAGAATGTAATGTAATATAGACTAGAACTTCAGAAATTATTTTCACATCATAACAAGTCATCACCATTCAATCTAGAATTTCTTTCCATACACCTTGTACTTGTATGTGGTCACTGATCAATCTCAAATTATATGTAATTTTCTTGTACTATAATAAATAGTGATATAGACAGAAAGATGTAAAACCCCTGAAAATTGTTAAATAAAGAAAATAGAACTATAATTATTCGCTCACAGTCATAAATAATTATATCTTGCATTTCCTTACATGAAAAATCATACTTTCCAGTAATGTCTTGTTTAAATGTCATACTCTCATCTCTAGTCTCAATAAATTCTTTAATAAGGAGATCTATGAAAATTATAGAATGAAAAAATTTGAACCGAAAATATACACTTGCAATATCTTGTATCTATTTCCAGTAATCTGTTTTTAAATGTAATACTCTTAAGCCTGGTTTCATTTAAATCTCATAAATTCATTAATAAACAGTTCTTTCTATCCTAATTAGCAAAGCAACATAGTCTTACATGATCTAAAAAAATATTCATGTTCATAATAAAGAGCAAGGGACAAGAAGTACCACTCCTCAACCTTATAATTCTTAACATGGTAAGAGGTACTTACTACCTACTTACTACACTTATTTCTTTAAAGTAGTGCGATATAGGATATATATTCTATTATCAATTATCTTATTTACAGTTCATTTCATCCATTACACGATATACATAAAGTCCATTGTAGAACACTTTTAAATGTCAATATTAGACCATTTTTCCTCCACAGGGCATCTATAATTCTAGATTACAATTTAAAAAACTAATTTCCACTTTTAATATTGAGTAACTCCCTGTAGGAGACAGCAACAGAGGGTATATACAGTTGGTTTATATTGTATGGCAAAGTAACAAAGAATGGAACGGAGGGAAAAAAATGTAGAAAAACAAACCACACTTAAGTACAGGTTTTAACAGGGTAAAAATAGACTTTAATTGAACAGTATAATAATTGACTAAATTCTATAGAGGATGCAATTATTTAACAAAAAAAAATATGGTATTTTTATATTTAGCAGAACCAAGCCAACCATGCATACCTATATTTATTACATAAAATTGTAGGGCATCACAACTGAAGTATAATCTGCTTGACTAAGAATGCCCCATCTGTTCAGGAAGGTTATTTACATTGCTAATGTTCCACCAAAATTTCCTATTATTTCTGCTATCAGAATCCTTTCTTTCAGATTGCGTTTCAGATGAACCAGGATTTTCTGTCAAGAATTTTTCCCAGAATATGTCATTAACACCGGCAGCCACAGGGGCTGTTCCCACAGGTTGTTCTTTCGATGCATCAAGATCAGAAACAGCAGCTACAGCTGGTTCAGAATTCATGCCAATTCCAGGTGACTTAGGCTGCACTTCAACATCTAGTTGCACACAAGATATAGCTGGACTATCTGCACAACTCATAGATTCGTCAAAATCCAAGTTTGAATGACTTTGCAAAAAAGTGTCAACATCATGTGACATTTCCTCCCAAAACTCAATGGATGACTCGAGCAAATCCAATCGCTCCATGTTTGATGTTAAAATAGAGGAACCCTGTGCATTTTGCCTCGGTAGTACTGGAGAAATTTCCATATGATCTTCAATGCTAGCACTGTCGCTATAGAGACTACTTCTTGGCAACCTTCGTTTTCTATCCATGATGTTTTCTGGCAGTTGCAAGAGATTTAAAGCAATCCCAGGTTTCTGCAGCACTTGAGAAACAGAAGAAAGCATATTTTCTTGCTTCTTTTCCATCTTTTCCAAGCGGTCATTTGAGCATTTTAATTGCACTTCATACATTTTCCACTCCTGTTCATGCCTCTCCAACTCCCGAAGAAGTTGTGCTTTATCTTGTTTAAGCTTCTCTATCTCATCCTTCAAACTCTGCCGTTCTGCTTCAGTCAGCGGAAAAGTCCCTTGACTTTGGACATTCTGTAAAGAATGGCTATGAACAGGTTTACGCCTATGGATATTCTTCAAAAGATGTGGTTGACCTCTTATAAAATCATCATTTGCAAATTCCCATTTTTCAGGGTCAATCTTTCTGAACCCCTGATCAAACAGAAAACCATGACATAGTTCAAGCAATCAAACCCTTTATAAGGAAAGGAAGAATATAAGAATAATAATATGTTATCAAATACATTAACATGAAGAAGATTGGATTGACTTACATAAGTGTTGAGCTGCCTTATAAAACTGGAGAAGTTACTGTGCTTAAAGAATCTGGGCAACAATTCACTTGAAAATTCCGGTGGATTCCAAACAACGAAACTCTTATTGGTGGGACTCCAGGAAACAATGGAATTGGTGGAAGGATCATCCACCATCTCATAAGTCTTGGTGAGGAAAGGTGGCAGGGAACTGGAACTACCCTGAGCTTCCTCCATCATCCAAACTCCAAAGCAAAACACACAAATCCCAAAGCAAAGTGAACCCTCAAAAACCCTTTCACTTTTAAAAAAGTTTAACCTATACAAAATAACATATATAAGAAGAAAAAAAATTACTTCCTTTTCCTCCCCCTTTCCTTCGTCGCTGGGTTTCACCAATCCCAGTTAACACCAATTAATAATTTCCAAACAAAGGATACATTTTTCCCATTTTCAATTCAGAATCCCTCACTCAAACAAATTAAAGCTCACAACCTTACCTCCACTCCACCAGTTACAACTGGCGTTGAATCAAACGCCCAAAGGTGAAACCTTTTTCCAGATTCAAATGCTCAAGTGCAACTACAAAGCTGAAAGTGGAAGCTTTTCTTCCGAATAGGGAAAGTTCATATCTCTGTCCATAGTTGCCAAAAGCTTAAATTCTGACCAATTTTTCAACAGTATAATATAAATGACTTGATTTTATCAGAGAAAATAGAATATCATTTAATCCATAAAGTTTTTTTTAAAAAAAAAAAAAAAACTTGCTGATCAAGTAAATAATAAATGAATATTTAATTTCAACATTTTTTAAAAGGAGGACATTAAAATAAATTAAATTACCATCTTTGATGGGGAGATAGACGGATAAGAAGGTGCAGAGAAAAGAGATCTTTTGGTCAGTAAGTGCTTCCAAATATTTGGATCCTTCCAGGCTACGAGGTAGACAATTCTGAATTTTCTTCTTTCAGTTGATTTCTCTTTTCAACCTTATTTATTATGGTTTATTTTATTTGAAAAAAAAAGAGAAGAAGAATAAGAATGTAAAAAATAAAAATAACACAATAATAATAAATAAATAATTCCTAGAGTATCCAACTCCTCGAGCACAGGCTGCATAGGAATTTTGCTGCTTTGACCTCGTACATGGATTAGAAGTTCATGAATAAGTACGATATTGTGATTATCCTTGAATTATTAGTTTAAAAAGTAAAATAATATTTATTATATTTTATTTTTCTAATTTACTAAAAAAATTAAAATTGGAAAATAAAAAAGTTAAAAATAATAAATGGAATTAAATGGAAAAGGCAAAGTTTTATATTTAAAGCATTTAATATTTTGAAATCATTAATAGAATTTAATATTAGACAATAGTGAAAAAATGTAACGAAATATCTCAAATTTACATTAATAATAAATTTTTTATGAAATAAATTTAAAGAAAAGGAAAAGTCTTCTTATATTGAAAATATTTAATATTTTCCGAGTGTTGTTATAATTTAATATTAGACAATAGTATAAAATGTAATATCTCAAATTTATTTAATAAAAAATTTCATGAAATAAATATAAAAGAAAAGGAAAAGTCTTATATTTAAAGTATTCAACATTTTCTAATAAATAACAGAATTTAATATTAGACAATAGTACAAAAAAGTAATAAAATATTTTAAATGAGATTTATTAACTAACTTTTAATTAAATAAATTTAAAAGAAAAGGAAAATTATTCTTATATTGAAAATATTTTTCAAATTATTAATAGTATTTAGACTAAATTATTTTCTGTCATTTATCTTATTTTTTAGATTCATTTTGATTATTTATTTATTACAATATTTATTTTAATCTTTTATATTTTATATTTAAATTAATTTGGTCCTTTTAATGATATTTTTAAATTTGTAACATAATTTTGAATTTGACTAATTCAAAATGTGATATTTATAATATTATATTTACTTATGTGAAAATTGAAAATTGTAATTAATATTTGAATTTAAAAAGATTATAAATATTTTAAAAATTGCGTGAGAATATATTTCATGAACAACTAAAAAATAATGAGATTAAATCTTTTTTTATCATATTTATAATATATTTATTTGAATTTTAATTGTATTCAATAATTTTTATATAAGTGAATCTTATGAGATGAATTTGAAGTTTTATTCAGTAAAAAAAGATTAAAAAATTAAATTAATTGATTGTACATGTTTTTTACAATTTTAATTTTCTATTTTCTATTTTTGCGCGAACAATTACAATGAAAGAATTAAAAAAAAAATATAGACCATAGCCGATGCAATATTGTTGTAATAAATAAGTCTTCTGTACCAATTCTTTCTTTTCTTCTATGTTTCAATAAAATAAAAATTTAATTAGTATAAAAAGACATTGTAATTTTTAAAATTATTATCTAATTATGATTTTTCATATATTAAGATTGTTAACCTTTAGTGATTATTTTAAAAGTTATACAAAATGATTTTTAGTTAATTAACAATAATAAAAATATAAAATGTTTAAGCTAATAATATAGCAAAATTAAACTTATAAAGTAAACAGAGTTCTTTCTCTCATTTTTCTTTAAGGATAACACAGGACAGGAACATATGCATATCTTCATATATGACAAACTTTGCTACACTAGTCTATCGGAATTAATTAGGAGACAAATCATTAAAGTATGAATAGAAAAACTACCCACGACACTTCGATCATAACCATTTCATGAATAAATATAGTACAATCTATCAAATTTGTTAATATTTTTATGCTACAGTAAAACAAACTTATTGAAAGAAGATTGCTAATATATATATATATATATATAACGCATGCAATGTATATGTCCCATGTGATTGCCTTATTATTCATTTTACTTATATGATGTATATTCATAGGAAGTAACTCCTTGAGAACTTTATGTAAAAAAAAAAATTAAAAAAAAAACACTTCAGAACAAGTCATCGACGTAAGAAATAAAAATATAAATATAAAGCATTACTTTATATTTAAATAGATAAAATTTATAAAAAATATTAATTTTAAAATAGCCACATGAATACTACATAACTAACTTACAATATTAATAAATATTTTTAAAATTGGAGTTGTTATTGAATTGGTTTAGGTATCAATTTAAAGATCAATAGTTTAATCATAGTTGAGTTGTAGTTAAATTAATATTAATAAAATAATAATTATTATTAATTATTAATAAAATTAATATTAAATACATTAATATAATGTCATAATTTAATAATATTAAAAATTCAAATATGATATTATTTATAGGTTCTTAAACCTTAATATTGAAGTATATATAAAAGTTAATATAGTATAATATTTAAGTTTAAATTTTAGTAGGATATCACAATTTCTATTAAAAATAATAAGTTTATATCAAGAATAAAAATTTTAAAATTATATATAATAAGAGTTTAAATATATTTTTAGTCTTTTAAATTTAAGATAAATTTGTTTTTAGTTCTTCAAATTTAAAAATTATTTTTTTAGTCTCTGTAATTGTTAAAAATCTTGTTGTAGTTCCTCGGGCCATCAATAATATATTTCAAAGTGACAGATTGAGATAATTATATAGCTTTAGTTAGATTTAATATGATGTTTTTTTAACAGAAACATTAATAGATAGATTTTATGCATTAGTATTTAACATATTCCTTAATAAAATTTGAGTATAAAGACTAAAGCAAGATTTTTAAAATTATATAAACTAAATATACTAATTTTAAATTTGAAGGATTAAAAATAAATTTATCTTAAATTTGAGGGACTAAAAATATATTAAAGTCCAATAAATTATAAAACTCAGGATATAAAAAATTACAAATTAACATAAATTATTAATTATGTTTTTATAAGAAAAAATATTAAAAATAATCGATAAAGTAATTAATTCAATTTATAATTTTTTTATTAAATATCTATTTTATTTTATTTAAAATATTTTAAATTAGTTTTATAAATTAAAAATAACTTTTTTAATAGGATTGGTTCAAATCGATTTATTAAATCATCGATTTTAAGTTAGTTCAACTAGTTATAAAATCCTCCAATTCTTGCTAGCACTCGAACCGATTCCTAATTTGATTGGTCAAACTGGTTGGTCTGATCTAATTTTCAAAACAGTAATATTAGTAGAACATTCATTTGTATAATCATATGGTCTAATTTTATGTTTTTTTATTTATTATAATAACTGTTTCTAGTAGAAATTGTCTCTTATAACATTTATTTTAAGCTTTATTGATTAATTATATGATATGTGTTGATTAATTATTGAATTGTTATATTTATTATTGTTTCATAGCTTTAAAGGTTAAGGGATACTTAAGAATTAAGTTGTCAATTAAATAGTTTTAATTAGGGTCAAGTTGGCTAAGTTTAGGAAATAATATATAATGTTTTTCTTAAGAAATGAACTTCATAAGTTCATAATATGTAAGTTCATATTTTAAGAAAACTTATAGAGAAGTTAGATAGAGGAACTCTAGAAGCAAGAAGATTTATTTCTTCTTCTAAATTCCTTAGAGTCTCTAACCTTTCTCGATAGCTAAGTAAAGTTGAGAGATCAAAGATTCAAAACTCAGAGGTCGAGAATCTCAAGTGAAAAAAGTTGTATGACGACCTTAAAGACTTTTGATTTTCCTTCCTCTTCATTGATTTTTTTCAGACAATTCGAGATAAGGAATGTTTGTTGATTGATATTGATTATAGATGTTGAATTCGGCTTATATATACTTTTGGATGGTTGAATTGGTTGGAATTGTGAGATGAAAAAAGTTGGTTATTAGTAATATATTTGAAATTGTGTCGAGTAAAAATGGATGATTCTTGAGTGTAATAATTATATGTGATATTTTGTAACACTCATTTATTCTTTTTAAGTATAACATATAATTATTTAATTATTTTTAAAAAATATTATAAGTAATTATTTAAATTAAATAACTTTATAATACCAATGTAATTGAAAATAAAGAAAAGAGTAGTTTATTCATTTACGCTTATTCACATAATTACAAGTCATAATAGAAATTATATATAATAAAGGAGGTTGAGGAAGTTGATGGGTGGAAGAGTAAATGTGATGACCACATGACCTTTAAAGAATATTGTGTTGAAACATCTGGAAGTGCTATAACAAAAGATCTTTGACCTTTGAAGGTTCCTATATTATTTTGCTTGTCGACGATCCATTGTAATCTTAAGAGAAAAAAAAAAAAAACAAGAAACATAAAAGGAGTTCAAGTAAATAAATAAAAATAATTCACATATATACATATATATTACGGATTTTAATTCTTTTCAATAAAGAATAAGTCTATTTATACTTACTTCTTTTAATAACTTATTATATTTTATATTAAATTTCAACGATTTAACTGTTAAATTTAAAAATTTTAATGCATAAATGAAACCTGTAAATTTTTAAAAAATTTAAAAATTATTTGGTACTTCATTTTATTAATTTAAATGGACGAATAATCATAAATTATTTTATATATTAATTTAAATTAATACAACAAAATATTAAATAGTTATCAAATTTTTAAAAAAATTGCAAACTTAATTTATGCATTAAAAATTTAAATTTAATGATTGAATCATTAAAATTTGATGTAAAACATAAATTATTAAATAAAATAATTTGGTACTTCATTTTATTAATTTAAATGGACGAATAATCATAAATTATTTTATATATTAATTTAAATTAATACAACAAAATATTAAATAGTTATCAAATTTTTAAAAAAATTGCAAACTTAATTTATGCATTAAAAATTTAAATTTAATGATTGAATCATTAAAATTTGATGTAAAACATAAATTATTAAATAAAATAAAAGAGACTTCAAATGAGTTTTTTACTCAAATAATACTATTTTAAAAAATATTTATCCAAATAGCAACCGTGCAAATTTATTTTTCCAACTAGCAC